TTTTCTTCATAGATTTCCATCAAACAATATTTGAATTTAAAAAAAAAATGGTCCAATGATAGAAAACTTAGAATTAGGGTTTAAGTAAGAATTAAAGGATAAAAATTAAAACAAAAACATAAAATAGAGTATGAGTTAATTTAGAAATTATTACTATTTTTTTTTTTTTTTGGTGCAAGAACAGATATTGTGATATTTTTAGCTCATTATAATGTATCTATGATTATAAGTTCGGATTGGAATCGTGGTTAGAGAATCGGTGAAAGAGAAAGCAAGAGTTTAATACAGTAGTAGATTCACTATAGCGAGTCTGGGTTGCCACAAGTTCCAGTTGCTAAGTTGCTGTAGCAACAAGGAATTTGCTATGGAGAACGTGGATTTGGCAGATTATGATATCTATCTATTTTAAGGGGATTTTTTCCTAGTTTTGGAGAAGAACTGTTTAGGAAGAGTTCTTGTGGGTTTGTAGTTCCTATTTGATTTCTATAACTTTGGGAAAGTTCTTAACAATGAAGTTTACAATTGATACAAGGAAAGCCACTTCTCCAAATAAATCTACAACCCTAAAGGAGTCTAAATCTTAGAAGAAAAAAATAAGCACACAAGAGAAGAACAGCAAAGAAGAGATTATTTGAGAGTTAGGGTATTCTTCTAGTGAGGGGTGATTTACAATCTCCGTAGAGTTTAGAGAATATCACTAGTGTTTGAGTGGAAGGGGTTTCTGCACAAGGGTTTATGATGGTAAATTGGTAATCTCTATAGGGCATGAGTGTGTGGAAACTTTTCATAAACCTTTGAAAAATTTCTATGTAATCTATCATCACCTTCAACTTTTTGCTTGAGAAAGATGATATTGCACTACTTTAATAAGCTCAATAATGATAAGAGTAAACGACTTTTTCCCACCTAAGGGTTGCCTTAATGACGCTTTCCACCTAAAAAGTTTCAAAATACCATTTTTCACCCAACGTTTATATTTCGTTAATACCCAACATACATTTCACTTTCTCGGCAGACGTTCGACGAGTTACCAAAAGCCAGGGTAAAAGAGTTTTTATAGAGTGGAGGCCGGTGGATCAAATGTAGTGACTGATTAAATATTCGCCACCGGAATTAGTCGGAAATCAGCTAAGAACAATAAACTATAGCTTTATAATGGCCAACAATCGACGAGAAATCAAGTGTTGGAGTGAAAGAGGTTTTGTAGAGGGGAGACTAGAGGTTCAAATGGGGGTGATGGAAAGAATTTTCGTCACCAAAATTGACTTTGTGTAGAAAAGTGATATTTTGAAATTTTTGTGGTGGAAAAGGGTCTTTAAGGCAAACTTTGGGTGGGAAAAAGTTGTTCACTCATAATAATATTTTAGTTAGAACATTAATTGATCACGGTTCAACATCCATCTATAGTAATAGTTTACAACTTGTGTTGTTTCCTTTTTCATTTTAACCTCACTCAATCTTTTTCAAGGGGCCTCCTTGGAATTGTGATGGTCCATTATTGGTTTTTATTGATATGTATCAATCAAGTCTTTAACTTATTGTATCTAATAATAAAATTTTATTAAAGATAAAATTATAATAAGGTAGATGTTAAGGAAAATATTTTATTAAATTTGCTTTCCAGATATTAAAGTCCAATCACAATCTATTCGTATTTTTATTTTGGCAGAAATTGTTATTACATTAAATAAAAATCACAATCGCTTATATAGGTCACATTTAACATTAATTCCCCTTTGCTTTATATATATATATAATACCCTTTTAGTAGTAATTTTATTATTATAGCAATACAACTAAACATCAACCATTCCTCTCTCTTTTTTAATTATCATGCTTTTATATGTAAAAAAAGAAGAAAAAAATCGCAAGCTTTAATATTTATATTTTTGAAAAGAAGTAATGTTACACATACATATAAAATAATTGTATATGAAATAGTATGTATTTTTTTATATTCAATAGTAACAATATTTCATTTATCTTGCTATATATTATTGAGTAAAAGATAGTAGTTTAAAACTCACAAAAAAGTCTCAAATTTGGAAAGATCACTTAACTGATGATTTATGAACATTATGAAAATTAAAATTTATCAATTTGTAACTTACAATTTTGTGTCCTTATATTTTATATACATGAGTTTACATATAAATTATAGTTAAAAAAATAATTAATTACGTAGACCTTGCATGAAATTTCAACTGGATAGAAAAAATTATTAGGTTAACACAAACACTCTCCGTCTTAACTTTCGTTAGGAGTCTGTTAGGGTCATTTTTTACGCTCCCTCTAACATAAAAAAATGATAGTTACTCCCCATAATAAAGCCACTTACACCGTTTGTTGTTCATTTCTTGTGTCAAAGTTAATTAAGAGAAGGGTAAAATAGACCTTCTATGTTAAAATACTCAACTATATATTAAATATATCAAAACAAAAAAAATTAAAATTAAAAAAATATACTTAAGATTTAATATCATTTTAAAAAGAATTTACTTAAAAGAAAAAAAAAAAAAAAAAAAGAGTTGCAGGATGATCATATAAAGAGTTTTTTTGGAGATATTCTTAGAGCATCTTCAAATGACTATTTATTATAAAGAATTTATTCATAAAAACAAGAGTTCAACAGACTCTTTATCCTTAAAATATAAATTAAATAGTGAGTTTGACCTTCTACATCTAGAGAGTTAAATTTCACTCTTTATCATAATTTTAATTAATAAACTACAAGTTTCTATGCATTTTATTTAGGGAGTATCTGTCTAAGCTTGGGGGTGTTTGTCTAAGCTTATAAGCTGGTCAAACTTGCTTATAAGTTCTAAAATTAAGCTGACCTGTTTGTTTATAATTTTTTTGAGCTTATAAGCTAAAAAAAATAAGTTGGGGGGGAGGTACTTTTTTTTTTTGCTTATAAGCTAGTTTGACCAAGTATATTACCACATTATCCTTGTTTAATTTTAAAATTCTATAGTATGTCCTTGTTTAATGTAGTACATTTTTTAGTAATTTTATAATAAAATGTATTTATAAGTCACATTTTACCAAACACGGCAATTACTTATCAGTCACTTATAAGTACTTTAACCAAACACGTAATTGCTTAAAATTTCAAATACTTATAAGTTAATTTTAGCTTATAAGCAATTGTTGCTTATAAGCTAATTTTCATAAGCTCAGACAAACACCTTATACGCTGGTCAAACTAGCTTATAAGCTCTAAGATTAAGCTGACCTGTTTGTTTATAACTTTTTTGAGCTTATAAGTTGAGCTTATAAGCCAAAAAAAAATAAGTTGGGAGGAAAAATTAGCTTATAAGCAACAAGTGCTTATAAACTAATTTTAGCTTATAAGCATTTGAAATTTTAAGCAATTACATGTTTGGTTAAAATACTTATAAGTGACTGATAAGTAGTTGACGTGTTTGGTAAAATGTGGCTTATAAATACATTTTATTATAAAATGACTAAAAAAGGTATTACATTAAATAAAGGTATACTATGGAATTTTAAAATTAAACAAGGATAATGTGGTAATATACTTCGTCAAACTAACTTATAAGCAGAGTGCTTATAAGCAAAAAAAAAAAAAAAAGAGTACCTCCCCCTCAACTTATTTTTTTTTTCTTATAAGCTCAAAAAAGTTATAAACAAACAGGTCAGTTTAAGGGGGTGTTTGTCTGAGCTTATGAAAATTAGCTTATAAGCAACAAGTGCTTTTTAGCTTATAAGTATTTGAAATTTTAAGCAATTACTTGTTTGGTTAAAATACTTATAAGTGACTGATAAGTAGTTGACGTGTTTGGTAAAATGTGGCTTATAAGTATATTTTATTATAAAATGACTAAAAAATATACTACTTTAAACAAGGGTATACTAAGAAATTTTTAAATTAAATAAAGATAATGTGGTAATATACTTGGTCAAACTAGCTTATAAACAGAGTGCTTATAAGCCAAAAAAACAAAGTAAGGGGGAGATAATTTTAGCTTATAAGCATTTGAAATTTTAAGCAATTACGTTATAAGTGACTGATAAGTAGTTGACGTGTTTGGTAAAATGTGGCTTATAAGTATATTTTATTATAAAATGACTAAAAAAGGTACTACATTAAACAAGGGTATATTAAGGAATTTTAAAATTAAACAAGGATAATGTGGTAATATACTTGGTCAACCTAGCTTATAAGTAGAGTACTTATAAGCCAAAAAAAAAAAAAAAAAAGTACCTCTCCCCCAACATATTTTTTTTTTTACTTATAAGCTCAACTTATAAGCTCAAAAAAGTTATAAACAAACAGGTCAGCTTAATTTTAGAGCTTATAAGCTAGTTTGACCAGCTTATAAGCTTAGACAAACACCCCCGAATTATAAGCTCAGACAAACACTCCCTATCTCTCTCATATTAAGTCTTTTTCTTGAAAATAAAGAATATCTTCATTAAATTTAAAAAGTCCATTGGATTTAAATAAAAATTTTGTTTTTCATATTTAGAAATTAATGAAGATTCTTTTTAAAATAAAGAACACCAATGAAGATGCTCTTAGATTATCGGAATGAACCATTTTTTTCTTTAAAAAATTATTATTAAATTTTCATTTTATAAAAGTATATGTTTTAAAAATTATATATATTTTTTAAGTTTTTATATTTTTACTTGTAAAATATTTTAATTTTCAACTTTGTGCCCATCTTTCAATTAATTTAACACCAAAAATTGATAGTAAATAGTAAGAGGTGTAAATGGCTACATATAGGGGGCAAGTTGTCAATATTTTTTGTTGAAGGGAGTGTCAGGGAGATAACTGTAACGGAGCTTTGATAAAAGTTAAAGGGGTGCGAGCCGAGCGGGGTAGTTGTGTGCGAAATATTGAAACCTGAACGGAGTCCGTAATTAGCTCTTCAAAAATGTTAAGAAACATATAAAAAAAAAAATATATATATATATAATACGGGTACCAAGTGTTAACTAACCAATGAATCATTCAATCAGACGTCCCATATTGTCGTGATCACACACAAAAAACACAACGCACGGACAATCCTAACCATCATTTCTTTAGGTCGGCCCTGTAAGGCCGTAACATTTCTACAGTAACACTCATCTTCTCTTCACGAATCACGACCGTTCTCTCCCTTTCCTTTTTATTTATTTTAATTAGTTTTTCACCTGATACACATAATTATCAATCACGATCATATAAGTAATTTCGATTGCTCTGTATTAATTTTCTAGTTGTGTAATGAGCTTAGGGTTTTTAATTTGTTGTAGCTGATTCGAAAACGGCGATGCTTCAGGCATCAATTTTTTCTGCGGTATATTGGGTCGATTAATTGGTTAATTCAACTAGGGTTTTTAGCTTTGGTTATGGCAGAAGCTTCGAAAGCGCGTGTTACTATTACTCTTGGACGTAGTGGCCAGGTATCTTCTTCTTCTTCTTCTTCTTTTTTTTAATCTTTTCGAAAGTTAGGGTTTCCTTTTTTTATTTATTTGGATGATTAAATATTCGCCACGGAATAGTCGGAAATCAGCTAAGAACAATAAACTATAGCTTTATAATGGCCAACAATCGACGAGAAATCAAGTGTTGGAGTGAAAGAGGTTTTGTAGAGGGGAGACTAGAGGTTCAATGGGGGTGATGGAAAGAATTTTCGTCACCAAAATTGACTTTGTGAGAAAAGTGATATTTTGAAATTTTTGTGGTGGAAAAGGGTCTTTAAGGCAAACTTTGGGTGGGAGAAAAAGTTGTTCACTCTAATAATATTTTAGTTAGAACTTAATTGATCACGGTTCAACATCATCTACAGTAAAGTTTACAACTTTGTGTTCTTTTTCATTTTAACCTCACTCACTTTTTTCAAGGGGCCTCCTTGAATTGTTATGGTCCATTATTGTGGTTTTTATTGATCTGTATCAATCAAGTCTTTAACTTATTGTATCTAATAATAAAATTTTATTTAAAGACTAAAATTTATAATAAGGTAGATGTTTAAGGAAATATTTTATTAAATTTGTTGATATAAAGTCAATCACAATCTATTCGTTATTTATTGGCAGAAATTGTTTTACATAAATAAAATCACAATCGCTTATATAGGTCACATTTAAATTAATTCCCCTTTTATATATATATATTTAATAACCTTTAGTAGTAATTTTTATTATAGCAATCAACTAAACATCAACCATTCCTCTCTCTTTTTTAATTATCATGCTTTTATGTAAAAAAAGAAAAAAAAAAATGCAACTTTATTTATATTTTTGAAAGAAGTAATGTACACAACATATAAAATAATTGTATATGAATAGTATGTATTTTTTATATTCAAAGTAACAATATTTCATTTATCTTGCTATATATATTGAGTAAAAGATAGTAGTTTAAAACTCACAAAAAGTCTCAAATTTGGAAAGATACTAACTGATGATTATGAACATTATGAAAATTAAAATTTATAATTTGAACTTAATTTTGTGTCCTATATTTTATATACATGAGTTTACATAAAAATTATAGTTAAAAAAAAAATTAATTACGTAGACCCTATAAATTTCAATTGGATAGAAAAAAATGTTAACACAAACCTCTCTTAACTTTCGTTAGGAGTCTGTTAGGGTATTTTTTACCCCTCTAACATAAAAAAATGATAGTTACCCCCATAATAAGCCACTTACACCGTTTGTGTTTTCTTGTGTAAAGTTAATTAAGAGAAGGGTAAATAGACCTTCTATGTTAAAATACTCAACTATATATTAAATTCAAACAAAAAAAAATAAAATTAAAAAAAAATATACTTAGATTAATATCATTTTAAAAAAATTTACAAAAGAAAAAAAAAAAAAAAAAAAAAAAAAGAGTTGCAGGATGATCATATAAAGAGTTTTTTTGGAGATATTCTTGAGCATCTCAAATGACTATTTATTATAAAGAATTTTTATAAAAACAAGAGTTCACAAGAATCTTTATCCTTAAATATAAATTAAATAGTGAGTTTGACCTTCTACATCTAGAGAGTTAAATTTCACTCTTTATCATAATTTTAATTAATAAACTACAAGTTTCTATGCATTTTATTAGGGAGTATCTGTCTAAGCTTGGGGGTGTTGTCTAAGCTTATAAGCTGGTCAAACTTGCTTATAGTTCTAAAATAAGCAAGTGACCTGTTTGTTTATAATTTTTTGAGCTTATAAGCTAAAAAAAATAAGTTGGGGGGGAGGTACTTTTTTTTTTGTTATAAGCTAGTTTGACCAAGTATTACTTACATTATCCGTTGAATTAAAATTCTATAGTATGTCCTTGTTTTATGTAGTACCATTTTAGTAATTTTATTGGTTTGAGATTGTTTGAGTCCCAGCCGTTATGTTTGTTGTTGGTTCAAGCTAGCGTTTGCGCGTTGTCGCAGTCCTGCTGCCACTGATTGATTGTGGTGCTAGGGTTTCAATGGAAAAGCCTACTCACAAGGGTGTGTTTGTCAGGTTTTCAAACCTGCAAGGGATCACATGGGTGTATTTGTCAGGTTTTCCAGCCTGACGGATCTTGTTGCTATTTGGGTTTGCTTGCCTCTCTCTTCACTTCCTACTCGTCTCTTTTGTGTGGTGGTTTATGGTAGATTGTGTTGGCTCTTGCTAGAGCCATTTGTGTGCAGTTGCTCACTGGGTTGTTATTTGGATAATTGTGGTGTTGTAGTGATTGTGTGATGGATTAGGGTTTGAGTTATGGTGGATTATGTTGGTTTTTCTGGCAGATTGTGGCAAATTGGTGGATCAGAATTCAGAAATGGAATTAGAGATTTTATTTGAAATTGCATTTTAGTGACCATGTTTAGCCACGGGTTCGGTGACCTGATGGTTGAACTAGTGGTTCGACACCATTTCTCCGGTTCAACCACATACAGATCAATCCAGACCAATGGTTGAAATCGGTCGAATCGGCCTGTCCGGTCCAGGTTTTAAAACCATATGAATCCATTTGATAAAAAAAATCCTAAATCTCTCTTATTAACACGTATGAATCCACTTGATTTAAAAAAAAAAAAAAAAAAAAAAAAAAAAAATTTGTTAGATTTATTTTTATTAGATCAAGTCACTAACGGATCAATACATTATAGAGAGTTTAACATGGGCTCCGAGGTGTTTTGATGTTGAACTAAAAAATCGTTTTAGCACTTTTTATCACATGTATCTATAAAATCATGATAATTAATAGGAAATACTTTGATGATTTGCCTATGATTCATATGTTTTTTTTGCGGCATGATTGTCCTTGAGACAGTGGTTGTTTTATTATATTTTCAGTTGAGAAGGTGTTCTCCAAGGATTTTTGGTTAATGGAAATAGGATTTTGAGTGGAAGACGACTTCCTTGACTTGAAAGCTTAAATCTTCTTCACTTTTAGTAGACTCCTGGGGCTTAAGATGTTAGTGCCACAAATCCCACTGTCTGGCCGCCCGTTGAATGATTTGGATTGTCGCTTAGCTTTCCTATGCCCGTTCATCATGGAATCTTAAAGTCTTAATTGCACTTTGTTTAATTGGGTTAGGTTTTCGGTTTACCCTTTTTTTATCAAATTTCAAACTTAGTTAGGGTTTTTGTTTACACTAATTTTCTACAAATTCAAACTTATTTAGTTTTTTTTTTTTTTTTTAATTTATACTTCTTTTACCTAATTTCAAATTTAAAACATACTTTTTCTTATTTAGATTCAATTTTATCCCATTGTGTGATTATTTTCTTCATAGATTTCCATCAAACAAATATTTGAATTTAAAAAAAAAATGGTCCAATGATTTAGAAAACTTAGAATTAGGGTTTAAGTAAGAATTAAAGGATAAAAATTAAAACAAAAACATAAAATAGAGTATGAGTTAATTTAGAAATTATTACTATTTTTTTTTTTTTTTGGTGCAAGAACAGATATTGTGATATTTTTAGCTCATTATAATGTATCTATGATTATAAGTTCGGATTGGAATCGTGGTTAGAGAATCGGTGAAAGAGAAAGCAAGAGTTTAATACAGTAGTAGATTCACTATAGCGAGTCTGGGTTGCCACAAGTTCCAGTTGCTAAGTTGCTGTAGCAACAAGGAATTTGCTATGGAGAACGTGGATTTGGCAGATTATGATATCTATCTATTTTAAGGGGATTTTTTCCTAGTTTTGGAGAAGAACTGTTTAGGAAGAGTTCTTGTGGGTTTGTAGTTCCTATTTGATTTCAATAACTTTGGGAAAGTTCTTAACAAGGAAGTTTACAATTGATACAAGGAAAGCCACTTCTCCAAATAAATCTACAACCCTAAAGGAGTCTAAATCTTAGAAGAAAAAAATAAGCACACAAGAGAAGAACAGCAAAGAAGAGATTATTTGAGAGTTAGGGTATTCTTCTAGTGAGGGGTGATTTACAATCTCCGTAGGGTTTAGAGAATATCACTAGTGTTTGAGTGGAAGGGGTTTCTGCACAAGGGTTTATGATGGTAAATTGGTAATCTCTATAGGGCATGAGTGTGTGGAAACTTTTAATTTTCATAAACCTTAAACCTTTGAAAAATTTCTATGTAATCTATCATCACCTTCAACTTTTTGCTTGAGAAAGATGATATTGCACTACTTTAATAAGCTCAATAATGATAAGAGTAAACGACTTTTTCCCACCTAAGGGTTGCCTTAATGACGCTTTCCACCTAAAAAGTTTCAAAATACCATTTTTCACCCAACGTTTATATTTCGTTAATACCCAACATACATTTCACTTTCTCGGCAGACGTTCGACGAGTTACCAAAAGCCAGGGTAAAAGAGTTTTTATAGAGTGGAGGCCGGTGGATCAAATGTAGTGACTGATTAAATATTCGCCACCGGAATTAGTCGGAAATCAGCTAAGAACAATAAACTATAGCTTTATAATGGCCAACAATCGACGAGAAATCAAGTGTTGGAGTGAAAGAGGTTTTGTAGAGGGGAGACTAGAGGTTCAAATGGGGGTGATGGAAAGAATTTTCGTCACCAAAATTGACTTTGTGTAGAAAAGTGATATTTTGAAATTTTTGTGGTGGAAAAGGGTCTTTAAGGCAAACTTTGGGTGGGAAAAAGTTGTTCACTCATAATAATATTTTAGTTAGAACATTAATTGATCACGGTTCAACATCCATCTACAGTAATAGTTTACAACTTTGTGTTTCCTTTTTCATTTTAACCTCACTCACTTTTTTTCAAGGGGCCTCCTTGAATTGTTATGGTCCATTATTGTGGTTTTTATTGATCTGTATCAATCAAGTCTTTAACTTATTGTATCTAATAATAAAATTTTATTAAAGATAAAATTATAATAAGGTAGATGTTAAGGAAAATATTTTATTAAATTTGCTTTCCAGATATTAAAGTCCAATCACAATCTATTCGTATTTTTATTTTGGCAGAAATTGTTTTAACATTAAATAAAAATCACAATCGCTTATATAGGTCACATTTAATATTAATTCCCCTTTATATATATATATATATTATAATAACCTTTTAGTAGTAATTTTATTATTATAGCAATACAACTAAACATCAACCATTCCTCTCTCTTTTTTAATTATCATGCTTTTATATGTAAAAAAAGAAGAAAAAAATCGCAAGCTTTAATATTTATATTTTTGAAAAGAAGTAATGTTACACATACATATAAAATAATTGTATATGAAATAGTATGTAATTTTTTATATTCAACAGTATTAATATTTCATTTATCTTGCTATATATTATTGAGTAAAAGATAGTAGTTTAAAACTCACAAAAAAGTCTCAAATTTGGAAAGATGACTTAACTGATGATTGATGAACATTATGAAAATTAAAATTTATTAATTTGTAACTTAAAATTTTGTGTCCTAATATTTTATATACATGAGTTTACAAATAAATTATAGTTAAAAAAAGAATTAATTACGTAGACCTCCCATAAAATTTCAATTGGATAGAAAAAATGTTAACACAAACGCCCTCCTTCTTTAACTTTCGTTAGGAGTCTGTTAGGGTTATTTTTTACACCCCTTCTAACATAAAAAAAATGATAGTTACCCCCCATAATGAGCCACTTACGCTGTTTGTTGTTCATTTCGTGTTAAAGTTAATTAAGAGAAGGGTAAAATAGACCTTCTATGTTAAAATACTCAACTATATATTAAATATATCAATATATATATATATATACACACACTTAAGATTTAATATCATTTTAAAAAAAATTTACTTAAAGCTCAAGCCTACTGTTTACCAAATGTCAATATCAATTATACGGACATAAAAAAAAATCTTCAAAAAACTGAGTAAAAAAATTGAAAAAAAAGAGGTTTAGGACTATCAGATCTCTGCAACCATCTTCTGAGCATCTTCAATGGTATTCTTTATTTTAAATAGCATATTTCATATAAAACAAAATTTTTATTCAAATCCAATGGACTATTTAAATTTATTAAAGATACTCTTTATTTTCAAGAAAGAAACTTAATAGGAAAGAAAATTAATAAATAAAATGCATAGAAACTTGTAGTTTATTAATTAAAATTAAGATATATGAGTGAAATTTGACTCTCTAAATATGGAGAGCTAAACTCACTATTTAATTTATATTTAAAGGATAAAGAGTCGATTGGACTCTTATTTTTATGGATAGACTCTTATAATAGAGAGTTTGGATCATATAAAAAATCATTTGGAGATGTTCTTAGATTGTTGAATGAACAATTTAAAAAAAAAATTATTATTAAATTTTCATTTTATAAAAGTATATATTTTAAAAATTATATATATATTTTTAAGTTTTTATATTTATACTTGTAAAATATTTTAATTTTCAACTTTGTGCCCTTCTTTCAATTAATTTAACACCAAAAATTGATAGTAACTAGTAAGAGGTGTAAATGGCTACATATAGGGGGCAAGTTGTCAATAATTTTTGTTGAAGGGAGTGATATGGAGATAACTGTAACGGAGCTTTGATAAAAGTTAAAGGGGTGCGAGCTGAGCGGGGTAGTTGTGTGCGAAATATTGAAACCTGAACGGAGTCCGTAATTAGCTCTTCAAAAATGTTAAGAAACATATAAAAAAAAAAATATATATATATATAATACGGGTACCAAGTGTTAACTAACCAATGAATCATTCAATCAGACGTCCCATATTGTCGTGATCACACACAAAAAACACAACGCACGGACAATCCTAACCATCATTTCTTTAGGTCGGCCCTGTAAGGCCGTAACATTTCTACAGTAACACTCATCTTCTCTTCACGAATCACGACCGTTCTCTCCCTTTCCTTTTTATTTATTTTAATTAGTTTTTCACCTGATACACATAATTATCAATCACGATCATATAAGTGATTTCGATTGCTCTGTATTAATTTTCTAGTTGTGTAATGAGCTTAGGGTTTTTAATTTGTTGTAGCTGATTCGAAAACGGCGATGCTTCAGGCATCAATTTTTTCTGCGGTATATTGGGTCGATTAATTGGTTAATTCAACTAGGGTTTTTAGCTTTGGTTATGGCAGAAGCTTCGAAAGCGCGTGTTACTATTACTTTGGAAGTAGTGGCAGGTACTCTCTCTTTCTCTTCTTTTTTTAATCTTTTCGAAAGTTAGGGTTTCCTTTTTTATTTATTTTTTAGTAGCAAATTTCAGTGCTGAGCTTTGATTTTGAATGTATTCATGGTTTTCTCTTTTATTATTGCTTTTTGAGCTATTGATTGGAGTCGGACGTCTTTTTTTTTTTTTTTTTTGTTTTTTTTTTGGTACTTGTAACCATTTTTTTTAGTATCTGTTTGGTTGCCAAGAAAATGTGGAACAGGAATTTGTTTATTGCCAAAAGTGTAGTCATCTGAGCTCGAGCCAACTCTATATATAAGCGCTGAATGGGCTTTTACTCTTTTATTTATGTTTTTAGTTTCTAATACATTGTTCGGGATAAGCAAATTAATATTATATATGGAGTGGAATTTTGTTGTGAGCTTATTTCCTTTACTCTTTTTTTGGGGAAATTTATTAGATGGTTTGGTGTTTTAGGATTAACAATAGAATTGCTAAATTGCATCTACTTGTAGCACTCGTTATAAGGATGCATTAATCTTTACTATAAATTTGCAGGTGGTGAAAAGGTCTGGACTTGTGTCAGATGTTGGTTTTTCTGATTCCCTGCCTGCTGCTGGAAGTAAGCGGTCCATAAGGGATAGATTAGGAAGTAATTCAGATAGTTCCCAAGTCAACCACAAAAGGTGTCTTCATCGTTCTTCTATATTTGTTGATGCATTGTATTCACCTTTAAATTCGTTTTTTGATGTTCTCTATTAGTTGATGCATTGTAGTATGTTTTCGAGTTTCTAAATTGCATCAAGTTTAACGCTGTATTCCAAGTCTTGTTTAGTGTGTGATTGTATATGCACGACCTTTTTTCCTTATTTTGTCAATGAATTTTACTTCCATGAGTAGTGATTATACTTCAAATTCTTGCAGACAAAGAGGGGATAGTTCTATTTCAAGTTTGACTAGTAATGGTGTTGATGGTAAGTAGCTTTCTTTTTGTCATTGTGATATAATTTCTTTTCAAAAAAATTTTAACTGGTTTTCTGATCACTAACTTTGTTGCCTTGAACAACTAAAGATGTTTCCATTGGCAAAAATGACCTTCGATTCAAACTCATGCAAAAAAATGTTGTTAGACAAGCTCGGAGTGATGATGATCGGAAATTCATGGACCTTCGTGAAAAACTGTCAAGGACCAGCCAGCCCCCGCTCAGTAAACTTGATTCAAGGCAGCGCATGCCTGAGTCAAAAGAATCCAGTATCCTGGGGAGAATTCCTCTTACAAGAAGTGCAGAAGATTTGCCCCAGATGAGCTCATCTAGAAATTCTTATTCTGCTTGGACTTTGGATCATATAAGACGAAGATCACCGGAGAGAATTTTTGGTTCCACTAGGGGTCTATCCCCCCCAAGGAATGTGGAGCATCTACAGAGAAGGCCATTAAGCAGGACGTATGATGATGTGCGAACAGTTCCATATATGAGCAAAGATGTTCATAATGCTCCAAGGCCTGTCAGTTCTGCACCTTACATGACTAAACCTGCATTGCCTTCTGGATCTGCTAAACCGGTACCACCGGTCCCGCAGCTTCTAGGCCAACTGCCCTCGTCTACTGGGCCAAAAAGTTCATACATGGTACGAGCTACCTGGCTACTACTTTCTGACACACACACTGATACTTTGTCATACTCTGCAATGATATCTATATATATGTATATGAGACTATATAAAACTCTTATACCATGGAAAGGATGATTTACATTGGTATACTACTACTGCTTGAAAATCTGATAAATGTGGTCACCTGCTACTTCTATTTGATTTGTCAGGTTCTTGTTTATTGTTTTTCTTAATTTGCCTTGTAGGGGTGATTGTGTACCATAGTTAACTTTTTAAATGGTTGGACTTCTTTTTTTTTTTTTTTTTTTTTTAACACTAATGCTATAGTTCAATTTTTTTTTGGAGAAGTTCACTTTTCAGTTGCCAATGAGAAAATTCACAAGTACTTGTTTTTAGGTAGAAGTGTATCATTTTACAAGTTCTAAATACATTGTTTCATATCTAATGTGTTTTATACATTGTGAAATGATATTCATTGGCCTAAATTTATCAAGTTAGCATGTTTACATGGACAAATGAAAGAAAAAGGTTATGGATGTTGTTTAGAGAGCCTTCAATCATGCCACCCTACTTCCAAAGAAATAGAAAGGACTTGAGGGGCAAATTAAGAAGCTCAAGGATTAGCTCTGTTTTCAAATCTGGCTATATTAGCTAGCCCCTTTTGTAATTTTTCAGCTTAAAAGTCTAAGATCCCTGTAATCCCATTGATTTCATGAATCATCTAAGTTTTTAGCTGTACAGTTGGGTCTACTCAGTGACTTGGATGGCCCAATTGATAATGTAAAAAGCAGTACTCCTGAGATAATGGAAGTTGGGGCTATAGGCACTAGAAAAGCTGCATTGTGTCAGCTAGTCAGATTTATCAAATTTCCTGGTATACTGTGGCTTTACTATTTGTTGAGATTGTTTGCCGGCATGGTCTTAAAATCTTAATTTCTTAGTAAATTAATTGATATCTAGTTGCTTATTCATTTCTGGGGTTAGAAATTGCTTTTTTGGAGATGCAATGTTCCCAAGCTACATAATTAGAATTTATTATTTGGCACTTGTTGCTAGTTTGAAATGCTTGCCTGAGACACAAGTTGAAATTTTTATTCCATATCTCATATGATTCCTATTCTTTATCCTCTAATAATATATTTGCACTTAATCTCTGTTCAATATATATGCCCACCAGATTCTTCCCATCACCCTACCACAAAAACAGCTCATAGCGTCAATATTTTCATGGCTGTTTATTAGAGTGTAGCTCTTGAGAATTCCTTTTTGTAGTTTTTTGTTTGGTTTTATTTACTTGTAAATGATTACTATTTCTTGCATCTTCTGAGCTCTTTCTTTTGTTATTCATTATGTAGGGTGAAGAACAACAAACAGTTGATGGTTTGTTACATTCACTGGGATTGGGAAAATATGCCATCCTTTTTAAGGCTGAGGAAGTATGTTACTTTATTCTTTCCTTTGATTAATTGCTTTGATGAGCTGTTGAGGTCTTTGGCTTTAATCAAGAGGATTTGGAGTTGAATTTGTGATTGCCTGCTTGGCATAGTACATCTCACAAGTTTCAATCAAGGTTGTGTGATCCCCTGTAAAGATCTTGGTAAAGACGTAAGAAAGGAAAGGATTTATGGGTATAAAGAACAAAAGTATGCTTCGAAGGAACATTATGTGAACATTTTTTCTTTTATAAATCATGTTTGTGTCATTATTAGTTTTACTATACGTGCTAAGTTTAGTACAATCTCAAAAGTTATACATTAAGGAATTTATTTATTTTTGATAGGAAACAAGTTAAGGAATTTACACTGCAGATTACAAATTTATGGGATCTCAATTTTGAATATTTAAAATCAGGAGGAGTTTCAGTTCATTGTTGGAGTCGGCTAGTGAACAAGATGATTTCTTTTTTTCTTTTCCATTTTTATTTATTTAAAAAAAAAAGAACTAAAAAAAAAAAAAAATCTCACCTTGTTTTCTTTTATTTGATTCATTTGATCTATAATGCAGGTGGATATGACTGCACTGAAGCAGATGGGGGAAAATGACCTCAAAGAGCTGGGAATACCTATGGTATACATATACTTTTCCTTTGTCTTTTCTTTTCTTTTTTGTCTTTTTCTTTTAGGTGTGTTTGATGCTGGGAAGCAGTTCGACTTTGCAGAGTTTTACATTTGCAAAGTCATAATGCATTTTATGTAATCTAAATTGCTTTGGGTATGAAAATGTTTAGAATTTGAGTCAGCTTAAATATATGAGTTGAAGCATGTACATATTATTATTATGCATGTGTTGAATTAAATTGCATGTACATTTTAAATTGCTAAGGTGTAGTTTATCCCTTCCACCTTATTATTTAAGCTGTATTTGTAGTTTGAGTGAAACAAAAGATGAAAGCAGTTGGAAGGTATTGTATGGTATTAAAATTTCACACACAGAGTAAAAATCTAGGGGTCATCTTTCCATCCCACTCAGACAATAGATTTCTAATTTAAATCTCTGTAATCTACTTATAAATTGACTTTAATATTCTTAAATTGTCTCATTCTACATATCCTACTGATGGCACCTTTTCTCTCTCTGTCCCCCCTGTTTGGTGGGTGTAATGATCGGTGTCTTCCTCAAAAATATTATTCTTAATGCCTTTTCTTGCTTCTGAAATGTTAGGATGTCTCATGCAAAAAGCACTATACTATGTGATGTCTGAAACTCGTGCATAATCAAGCAGCATTCCTTTTTTTTAAAGTTCATTCATTTCAATTAAATGTTGATGAAATTAGACTAATTAAGGTTGATCAACTGAGTACCCCACTCTTTTAGCATCTTTTTTTGAGAAGAAATAGAGTTTTAGATGTTATATGTCGGGAAAGCCATGCTCAATCAAATGTAGGCAAAGCTGGGGGAGGAATTTTTAAAATTATTATTTTACAATGAAATATTGGACTCTGTTGCACTAGTCCTCTGTTTGAGTCCAGCATTTGAGGAATGACTCTATTGCACTAGTCTTCTAGAGCCAAATATCTGTTGCCTACATAAACACCCTAACAAGTTACTGAGATTGTATGATCTTTGGTGTTAACCGTTGCTTTAACTTTAAACAGTTGTGGTAGTGAGCTTAACTGTGTAAAAACACTTGGTGTTTCTAGAAAAAGTTGAGAATTTGGCAGTTTTGAATATGTATGAACTATTTCCAAGTGATGATTTGCATATTTAATCTGCATTCCTGTTTCGTCGTGTTGATCTTTTAGCTTGCCATGTTCTAGTTGAATGTTTGACCCGCAGTGTTTAATAAAGGTGGTATAATTTGCAGGGGCCTAGAAAAAAAATCCTCCTTGCTCTATTGCCTCGCTCCAAGCGACAACCGTAACAGTTACACATGAAGAGCAAGGCTTTATTGTGATCCTGAGTGCTTTTTCTTATTGGGAGTTCCAATGGAAGAAGTTTTGTGTTAAAGTAATATCTTGTATTCTCTCATTTTATATAGATATGGCTCGTCAAACAGTTATAGCATTTTTGCCTTAACTCAATCCATTGATATTAATTGATGATAATTGCGAGAAATTTTGAGGTGTAGAATATCTTTCCTTCATTATCTTCTACACCGGAAAATTGTTTTGATTTCATTCTCATATAACTGGTGACAGTTGTTTCCACTTGGAATATTTTAGAATTGGTTTGTGATGCTGGTTTATTTTATGTAAAGATTAAATTCCCATACTGGAAAATGGGTAATCTGATCCCAGAACCGGGCAATCTTTGGGCCAATTCTTATGTAAAATTTCCCCCACTTTTATTAGCTTTTTGTTCATTTTCATAGATTTTCCTTGGATCTTTAGTAAGACCAACGGAACGGTTCACCTGAGATAGTCATTTGCTTCCGGTTCTGGACAAGGATAGTTCTTTGCATTGTGCCTATGCTGACGTATTCTTTCCATCTTGGCTTTTAGTGTAAATAAGTAATGTTTTAATAACCAACCGGGGTGAAACCTAACAAAATTTCTGAGTCTTGGGTTGACTGGTTTAATAGGTTTGATCGGCTGGTCAAATCGGGTGTTCAAAAGTTTAAAATTTAGCAAATACATTCTTGAAATTACGTTAAGTTTTTATAGGTTTGAAATTTAATAAACACATTTCAAATGCAAATTGGTGTTCAACTGGTTGGCGATGCAATCTTAATCATTACTTGAGCCAATTTCTTAGAAAATTTATTCAACATCTGGTCGAAATCGATCGATTTTGGATAGATCTCACTAATGTCAGATTGTCAGTGTCGATCAATTTCGGTTAGATCTCACCACCGTTGATTTCGACAACCCTCCTCATCACCATTAAAATACTCCCTTTAGCCTCCCCATTTCACCCAACCCCTGTTCACCTTGCCAATCATCGGCAAAAGTCAACTGTTGTCATTGTTGGTTTTTTTCGATTTTTGACCGATTAAATCACCAGAAATTACTTCTGTTGCCATCATTGTACTCACCGACATTTGCTCTTTAAAAGCCCCAACATCCTAGTCTTCAATTGTTCATCGATCATCATCCTAAATTCTAAGGTTTTGGGTAAATAGGAAAATTGTTAACCCAGTCCAGTGAAGGTCACGGTCCTGGTTAAACCGGTTCAATAGGTCAGATTGGGTGGGGTTTTAAAACACTGTAAAGTGTAAATAAGTAACAATTGGTTAATATCTTATTGCAACTGGGTGCGCGCAATAGTTAATAAAATGATTAAGAAAATAAATAAAGTTAGCCGCAAGTGGATATTGATTATTGAATCTTTTAATTTTTATCCACTTAATAAGAAAGGTTTTACAATACAATTTGTCTTTTGATAACAACTGGTTTGTGTCTGAATAAAATGATAAATACACAGTGTGCATACTTAATTTTTTTTTTTTTTTAACTTTTTAGTTTTACAATAATGTTATAAAGGGGTGTTCATAATGGGTTAATCGATTTTCTGAACTGAACCGGTTTTTCGGTTTAGGAAATTTCCTAAACTGAAATCGAACCGGTTAAGGAGAAAATTGGCTAGTAAAAACTGGTTAACTGGTTTTGAACTGGTTTTCCTTTTAATATATTTTTTATTTTGAGAGGAAGAGAAAAGTGAAAATCGGTGAGGACTGAGGAGAAATGTGTGTGTCTATGTGAAAAAAAAAAATGAGAAATGCGTAAAAGGTGAAGAGTAAAGAGAAAGGGATTTGAGGTTTAGGGTTTTTTAATTTTAAAGTGAAAACCAGGTTTATAAACCGGTTTTAAAATTTCTTTATACCGGTAACCGAACCAAATTTTCGGTTTATGTATTTCCTTGAACTTAAACCAAACCAGTCTTCCGGATAATCGAAAAACCGGTTCGGTTTGGTTTTTGCATTTTTTAACACCCCTAATGCTACACATATAAATAAAGCTGGAATCCCAATTTTGAATATCAAATAATGTGACAATTTATAATTCTTCTCCCATTCTCTTATGATCAAGATTCAAGGTGATGTTAATACATAAACAATCACACCACTTGGATACATATGCAAATGTATTATTAATTAATAATAGAGTTGACCTCCTATTCTTGTTTATGGTGAAAACAATGAGGTCTCTCTCTATAAAAAAACATAATACTATGTATATAACATTTTTATACAACATGATACAGCAAAAGATAATTGGTTGATTTTAAATTAAAAATAAATTTTCATTCAATCTTCTTTTGTCACATAATGTTGTATGCGTAATATTACTCTTATAAGAAAAAACTGAACAGTAAACACTAGTTTGGAAGCTCAGCTGGGTGGGTGAGGATCATTGAATGTGAATTAAATTTTGCAACAGGAGGAGACTAAAGAGAATTGGAAACCATGTGTGGAGTATTAGAAAGTGTTTCCAAAAGCGCGCACGTCTGTTGTGAATTTTTGTACATAACATGACATTCGAGCAATTTCTGGGTAAGCTCTGCTTTCTGTGACTGTCTTCTAATCTAACAGCGAATGTGGTCTGTTGAGTTCGTCAATGTCAATATTTTGTTTTGTTCTTTCTTCACGTGATTGCTTCAGACTCAGTGGTGCTTTTCTTTTCTTAACAAGTTGTACTTTGTTTACCATTATATACTTAAAAAATTTATTTTCTTCAGGTGGGACTCAACATTGTCTTAATCATACTACACTATTTCCTTAAATCCCACAACCACACCACCCACTACACTTCGTTAACTAGTTATTAATTAGTCTTCTTTTGAATTCCTTGGAATTCATTGTCTATGGAGTTTAACCTTAATTTCAAGTTTATTCCTATGTCAATAAAATAGAAGAGAAAAATTAGAAGCCTTATTTTAATTGTATCAAATCTTAAAACCCTACCACTTGTTTAATTAACAAAAAATCCATGTATTCTACAATTCATTGGTTAGTTTTATTCACCATCTATCACTAGAATAGCAACTCCCGAAAGTGGAGGAATTGATTCCTAATCATAAGCCAAGAAATGCGCTATCTGCTCCTTAAATGGTGTTTGAGCACTTCAAAAAAAAAAAAAAAAAAAAAGGTTGAATATGAGGTTATCATCTTGTTTGTTTTGAAAAGTACATCTGAGCTACCAGTTAGTAATGGTGTGACATGTGTATAGTTTCATAATTTGATTGCCTATTTGCTGAGCTTGTGGGCTCCTGGAATAAGTGTAGATTTCTGCACATTGTATCTGGGCGATGCTTGGTCCAATAATTTAATCAACATGTGAATCTTGCCTAAATAAATATGATAATTATGTGATTTGAATTGTGTATGAATGAGATCTGTTAAACGGTGAACGCATTTTGGTCGAAGGGACGCTTGTCACAGCGGTGGAAAAAGAACGTCGCGGGGAACATCAAAATGAAGTTTTCTAATTACGATTTCGTGGCGTAACGATAAAAGAACAAAACGAGGTTTTATGAGTTCTTGAGTTTGAGTCCCCATAAACGTTAATAAGGGTAATTGTTGAAAGACTTATCTGATTATCAACTTCAGGACAAAAAGATTAGATCATTCAGTTTTTAAACAACAGTTGGATTCAGTTAAAGAAGTTGCACCTATTAAATTGGTGTTTAGTTAAGTGATATTAGAGTATCTCTAAAAGACTTTTTATATGACCCAAACTCATTATTATAAAGAGTATATTCATAAAAATAAGAGTCAAACAGACTCTTTATCCTTTAAATATAAATTAAAAAGTGAGTATAACTCTCCACATCTAAAAAATCAAATTTTACTCTCTACCCGAATTTTAATTAATAAATGTATTTCACATTAAATAAATCCATGTGACTTTGAAGTATTTCAGATTGAATAAAAGTCTTCCTTTGATAAGTCTATCTGTCTTTGTGCGTTATCTTTGCTTCCAATTTTAACAAGCTCTTGCACAGTTAATTCTGTTTAAGAAATGGGGTGGCCGGAATGTGGCTTAATAAGTCAATCTTGTACCAACTACTTTTGGCAAGTTCGTATTCCAGAATTACTTCTCAACTTAGTTTTATCCAAATCAATACTTGATATGCATTGGATTATCATTAAAAAAAGCTAGCCTATAGGAGCCTACCTTGAAGTTTCTTTTATACTTATCACTAACTCCAATTACACTGTTACTGTGCGTCTTATCGGTTTCCAGGAACCTGATAGTTGCATAATGGTTGACGTGTGAAGTTTTTCTGTTGTTCCATCACTAGTACAGTATATCATTCCCCCAAGTGCCTTCCACACTACTCTCACCACCATTATTTGATATGACTGCACATATTATTTTCTAAGCAATTTTTCTTCTGTTCTCATTTTTTAAAAACAAATCATCTAATAGTTTATTGCAGCATGATCAATATTGCCGAGAAAAGTTAGTAATCTTTCATTAACAGAAGCATTTTCAGCTCCACAATAGGCTGAGGTTCGGAATCAAAACTCAAAAAGCTTAATCCAGCTACAGATATAGAACAGCACTTAAAAGAGAGTTAATCTAAATATTAATAGGTGGGTGCATTTTATCACAATAAGCCTGCTGTGGACTTTGTTATTATTCTTATTATTATTAAACATACTTTGTTCTATTACTTAATCAAGTGATAAATTTTATATATATAATCTTTCTGTATAGTCAATCTTGGCACTCTTTGTGGTTTTTAAATAAGTTTTAAAAATTCCTCTGGACAAGTCCAGAAGAGAAGGAAGACAGGGTTGATTGGATGAGAGTTAAGATATGGGGTGGCTGATGGTAGGGGCCACCTTTGGATACTCTATCAAACAAGAAGGATAAAATGAAATGAAATGAGCTAAAGAAAAAAGAAAAACAATCAATCAATCAATCAATAAATAAGCCAACCCACCCACCAAAGCTACCACCATAACACAAATAAAATCTCAATATATTCCACATGTTAAGTTATATAAGATAGAGAAATGGTTGATGACAGCATACCCAGTTGGAATTTCTTGTGTTAAAGCCAAAGAAAGTAGTTTGAACAGATTGGAAAAAGGAGTGGGAATTGATTAGCATGAGTTAATAAGTATTTTAGCAGAATTGAAGAAGTCTACCAATGGAAGATCTAGGAATAAAACAACAAATCTTAAAGTTTCTAATATGTCCTCAAAAGGTGGGTCCAAAATACAACAACTGTCCAACACAAATGCTTTGTTAAATCATACAATAATATTAGTTGATGACTTGATTAACCAGAAAACATATGCTTTTGGGCATTAAAATAATAGGTTTGCCTGCTCTAAGAAGATATGCCCAGATCTTATTGAAGACCATTATTAGTATATATGCTTATTACGTCATTCCCCACTTCTTTATATTCCCTTGTTTAGCAGCTACTCTCACCCCTTTACTATTATAATACCCTCAGCAAAAAACATGGTCAACATTGACATATTAAAACCCTTTGTGGGTGGAGGGATAATTGCGCAGAAGTTTCAGTTTAGTGCTGAATAATCACATTTCTACAGAAATTCAACATTGTTTATGCATTGATTGGGGACTTTAGTGGATGGGATTGGGAACCCACAGCTACAATCTTTTTATTTTATTTTATTTTATATTGTGATAAGCTTGGATAGAGGGCAATACGTGAATCCACTGAGTCATTAGTTTAATATATAATAATATTCTTAGATATGCATTTAAGTCCTGTGGGAGATTTGTTGCAAAGTTTAGAGTCCCTTCTTTCAGGTGGTTACATACCTTGTTTCTTTGACTTTTGTTAAATATATTATTAATATTAATCTTTATATTATAACTTTGATCCTCTCTTTAAGTTTGGAATATATGTTATTGATGACCAAGTGGTACTATAATTGAATTATTTAAATTGCTTCCAGACCATTATTCTTCAATTTTTTAAAAACCACACTGAATCCTCTTTGATTGAGAAGGTTTGAGGTGTATTTTTTTTTAATATAAACAAATATTATTGCATGAGAGATGAGACGGCTTCTCCGATCTGACTTTTCTTTTCTTTCTCTTTTAAATTGACCCTTGAGTACGTTTTATGCTGTTCATGATTATTAAACTCTTCCCTATTTGAGATGCAATGCATCGTTTGGAGCTATAGAGTTTTACTATAAAAGGAACACAAACCTACATAAAAACTCATCGGTATCTCTTAGCATTACCAAAAAAAATATACATATATATTTTCATATTCTTTTTCACGTTTCAATGGAGTACATGGATCAAAAAGAAGTGTCTAATAATGTTCTTTCTCATACATCCGATGGAGAAAATGCTTGTTCTTCAGGATCCTGTGTTGAAAAGAAGCTCAGATTATTTGGATTTGAGCTTAATCCAAGCAACAATAGCACTACTGAAATTTTCAAAGTATGTACTGAAGGAGATGACAGTGTCAACTCATCGACCACCGTTTCATATGCAACCGAGAAGCAACCAAACAAGGATAAAACCTCACCGGGTGATCAACCGGACGACAAGAAGTTTGAGTGCCAATATTGTTTCAAAGAGTTTGCAAATTCACAGGCGTTGGGGGGTCATCAAAATGCCCACAAGAAGGAGAGAATGAAGAAGAAAAGACTGCAACTTCAAGCCAGAAAAGCCAGCATCAACTGTTATCTTCAACCTATTCAAAACAATCTGAATTTCAATTACCATGCCTCCAATGCGTGGTTTTATGATCCTTCCATCTATTCTCCCGATCATTTCACTGTCTACGATCAGGAATCTCAGATTAGTTTCAGTTCACGGGATCAAGATGCGTCTCAGCTATCAAATTGGTACACCATACCAACTCATCATGTTCCTTTTCAACAAGATTCTTGCATGTTCACTTTAACACAGGCTGAAAAATCCCAAGATAAAAGATCTGTCATCATCCCGCCTTCACCTTTGTCTTCTTCAAAACAAAGCTGTAAATCTCTGGATCTTCAGTTAGGCCTCAGCTTGCAAAGTGGGATATAACTTATTCATAGTATAGGAAAATAGTGCTATGTCTTCTCTAGGGATATGAATTTTTTCGATTTATATTTACAGACTGATATGCATATTGAATAAAAAATTCCTAATACTTGGCTGGTACGTCCGGCATCCGCTGTACCTCACGAGCAAAAAATAAAAAAAAAATTGGTAACTTACACAATTATGCCACCGGTTCAAGAAGATTACTATATAGAAAACATGCTATTTGTAAATCAGAGTGGCCGATAAAGATAATGAAGTAAATTAAAATGTCAGTTCATAGCTGACGGAATTCTACTTATCTTTTATTGGAGGTTTATAATTCATTGCAGATATAATTAACTTTTCCATATTCAGCCACGAGGCTTAGTTGATCAGTTTGATGTATCATTGCTCAGTTAGTGCAGGGGCGGCTGTGCACACACCTTAAATGAAAGGGTTGGCTCCTGGGATGATACGGAAATTTTCCATCATATTAAATGACAAAAGTAATTGTATTATTCAGTGCAATAATTGGTAGCTGGGTAGGCGCTAGGCTGGAAGGAACTGTGGAAAGTTTAGAAAAACTAGAAGTCACAGGTCTACAGATGTTTTTGTTTTTTAACTTTAAATTAAGTACAGTACAACCTAATTGATTCTAGACGTTTTGATTGTTTCTTTGTTTTTAAAAATTGTTTCAAATTATGAAGCAATCGCCCACCAGATCTTCCCAATTGAATTATCAGCCTATTTAATGATAAAAAAATGTTTATATTCAACATCTTGGTGGCTCACAAGTACTATAATACATAAACAAGTAATCCAGATATTTCAAAAGCAGATGACGGTTGTGCATTGCAGGTTTGACTCATTCCAAAATTTTTTTTTTTTAAAAAAGGAGGCTGAATTTGGGCGACCTGTTGTTTTGTGGTTAAGCATATGATTAATTATATTATTTGATGATGCATTAAGATATAATAAAATCTCCAAATCGAGCCACATTATCAACAAGTTATTATCAGAAATAGATAAATATTGCAGATCTTTGTGTATAAATGATATTTTTCTAATACTGAAGTGTTTGATTGAATAACTTTGCTGATAGTAAATATTAGTTTGAATGATTCTGAAGATCTACAAGTTGGGTTGAAAATGATATTTTTATATGGGGTTGTTTCAAATGTGATTTATTTAATTAATAGAGACGTAGAATTGAGGATTAGGATGGAGGGAGGCAGTAGTCACTGGATTAGAAGTCAGCAATTATATATAATATAGAGAAATAGGCGTAAATATTATTACAAGTCTAAGGATAACGTGTCTATCATGGGATGGGAGATTAATACATATGCATATACAAACTTAGGAACGAGTACGTCTAGTACATATATCTTATTTCAATATTCAATGCGTGAAGATATACGATCAGACAGACCAGCTAGAAAAATGGGAATTTATATTATGGTTTCTGTTGAAGATTCCTGGGATATAGACAGAATGTGTATTTGTCAATGAACCAAAATAAACTAATATTGAAATTAATAAGAAAATTAAATTATAATAAATATGTATATTAATCTAATAGTAGTAGTTAAATGCCACACGCTATTATATACTTGCCGTTTAATACATCACGTGACAAATAACATTAATAAAAATAAAATTGACAATAGACTTTTAGTATAATACACTTTATATTTTTAATATTGCGTACTTAAAAAATGGGGTACATCTTAGCATTACTAATAAAATGATGTTTGGGTCCAACTAAACTAATGGATTAAGCAAGGATTTATAAATGATATTAAGGGCTAACCTGATGCGGCCCATCTAATCTCAAGGACATGCTTTTTGCTTGATTTATGTTTTTGAATACGGTTTTAGGGGACATTTAGTTAAAGGAATATTGTATTACTAGGAATATTATATTAATGGGAAGACATATTACTTTCAAGATTACTGGGAATGTTATATAAAATGTGTTTGATTAGATTGGAATAAATTAGTAGGTATGTTATATTAATATGTTTGGTTAAGAGGAATAAATTGGTCATTAATAGCCAAATAGATCTAGTTGAAAACAACCACATCTATGCACGATCAGTCAAATCCAGTCGATCGTTCACTATTTTAGTAATTGTCGACCGTTGGCCAGCGGGGGCGATGGTGGCCAATTGTCGTTGGAAGGTGGTTGGTGTGTTATGGGTAAATTGTTTTAAGAACAAGGGTAATAATGTCCTAAAATTTTAATTGTTAAGGGTACAATTGTAACAAAATTAAGATTACCAAGTAATCTTAGAATATCTAAGAAAATTGTGATATTCACATTGAGTAATATTACACTTACAAACTTTTTATACAAATTGATGTACAAAAGATGATTGAATTATTTTAAATTAAAAGAAATTATGTGACAAACATGCAAAGTGACTATATTACTTTGTATGAGAGAGTTTGTATAAAATGTTTATAAGTATAGTATTATTCATTTAGATTACCACCAATATAACTAACAATAATGACTATTGGTTTTAGAAGAATACCGAAATATTATATTACGTGATAACCAAACATGATAATGTTAGTAATATAAGATGACATTCATCCAACCAAACACGTCATAAGAGTAAAATGTTATATGTAAGTTTTATATCCCCAGCAGTATTGTAATTAAATGAAGAACTAAACCATGTGAAAAAGAAAATTTTATATAAATAATAAAAAAAAGTATCCTATGTTAACGTAAGCTGGACAAAAAGGTGTTACATCTTTGTCTTTGTTAGAATCAAATAATTGAGTAGGTATGGGGTCACCTCCCCTGGGCAATCTTAGAGGCCAAAGCTTGTGCCAATTCTTGCATAATCAAGGCGAAAAAAAACAAAATAGAGTTCAATTATTGAAGTTATCTTATATGAAGAAGCTGATATATATATATATAAGCTTGTGCCAATTCTTGTATAATCAAGGCGAAAAAAAACAAAATAGAGTTCAATTATTGAAGTTATCTTTTATATATATATATATATATATATATCTATATATATATATAGATATATATATATATAAAACGAAGGAAAAGAAATGTGAGGTTGACTTGATGGTTAAAGATGTTTGTTCATTTCTTGAGTTTGTAGATTTAAATCTTAGAGCATATATCATATAACATTATGATTACCTAATTTTTTTAATTTAGAGTGTTAATGAAATCGGAAATTAGTTGAGGTATACACAACAATCCAACACCTTGATTACCAAGAAAAAAAAAAAAAGTAATAAAATGTTGATGTGTTTTGGATTTGTTTGCTGAACACTAATTAATTTATGGGTCAATATAGGTGAAGGAAACATCAGAAATTGATGACAAGAATGGCCGACAGAATTAGGTTTACTTCAACACAAAGTCAGTAACCTTAACTACGCCATGAAAGGTTTCACACATATGTTGAAAACATATTATCATTCCAAAATTCTCTGAGTACGACAGAGACCTCAAAACTTAGTTTGAAAGATAATGCTCTACCAAAATAAAATTGGAGAATGTTGCTTGCTGTTTGAGATATTTGGGAGATTCCATTCGAGGTCATGACATCGATACTGCTTCTACTCTACATCAATCACTCCGTGGATTAAGCAAAGCTGCGGAATTATGACTGAACTATTTTATTACATAGTTGAGTGGTTTAAGTGAAGCTTAAACTATATATACATTAAAGTATATATATATATATATATATATATATATATATATATATATATACTTAGACCCTTTCGGATGTTCCTAAACTTCGTGAAGAAGGTAATCATATAAATCCAAATACACGATTGATAATATTGATGATTTTATGAGCAAGGAATTGCAGACAGTTGGGACAGAGGGGAGGGAAATGATAGTTAAATGGCTTATTATTTTTGGCCAGCTGTCACTATATATTATAGAGTTAATGACTTTTTTCTACTCAAATAACACTTTTTCACCCACAGACTTTTAAAATATTACTTTCTCACCCAAAAAAATATACTTTCCGATTCGACCTCAAATGGAAAGCAAACTCAGTCCCTTCTTTTGGGGCTTTTGAAGAGGAGAGACCGGTTAGCCTTTTGGTAGTCGTGATTGGTCAGAATTTGATTTGGAGGGACAGCTGCGCAAACCTCAATCACTCGATTGTCGACGATTGGCGAGGTCGACGAAAGTATGGTTTGAGGGATTTTGGTGAGTGATGATCAGGAAAGATAATGATGATAGTGTGAGATCGCAACGATACCAAAATTGACTGGTGATTAGTGAGGTCAATGGGAAAGTGGCATTAAATATATTTTTTTGGTGGAAAAAATGGTATTTCAAAAGTTTAAGAGTGAGAAAGTGTCATTAAGCCATATTTGGGTAGGTAAAAGTTGTTAACTCTATACTATAAATATAATGCAACTTATTTTTTACTTTAATATATTCAGAAAATATAACTTAATATTTTTATAATTTAATAATTTCAGATGTACAAGTCAAGTATTTATACAAGGCTAGTGATGAATTTGGAGGCTAATTAGATGATTAAGAGATCCCTCAAGTCTTAATTTCCGTATATCTATTCACTAGCCAACAAATTGCAGAATATGTTATTCTATTTGTATCCATCTCTGCCAGCTAATAAATAGTCTTAAACTTGGTACTTTTCTCCTTGTCCATTCCAATGATTTTAGAGACAAATTATATGGAAAATGCCAGCCATTTCCACTTGGGCTAACATAATATACATTACCATATAAAATCTTGCTGTAAATGGTTTTTATTTAATTAAGGTAATCAGACAGCTTTTTATATTTTAAAAAATATTGCTTCTTTGTTTATATTATACAGTTGAAGGATACCCTTCTTAAATTTATTTATTTCAATGTAAAATAATGACATAAATGATAAATCATGATCATTATTTGAAATCACACAAAAATAAATGATTAATGATTAATGTTAAATTAATTACTTTTTAAACTTTTATTATGCCAATCAACCCTTTCTTCCCCACTCTTTCCCATCATTTAAATTTAACTCCCACAAAAGGCCCCACCTACGGTCCAAAACCCTAGCACCCGCCCCACTCACGTGCCGCCATCACTATCCCGTGCGCACGGTGCACCCTGCGCTTTCTAGCAAAACCCGGTGTTTGAAATTTAAAATTTTATAAGATAACAGTGTAGAAACAACAAATCGCACCTAATTTGTAATTTCCCCTCCATTTTCTCCTTCTATTGTGTCGCTATTGTCCGCCTCAGCTCCTGCTTGGATGTTCCATCAAGTCTAGGGCTTTTATATTGTTCTCTTGCAATTAGTGATTCCGTGTGGTGACGTGTATAGAGAATGAGAGAAAATTCAGGAGTAGTACCTGTGTTTTCCTCATTCTCTTGTATTTTCTTTTTGTTTCGGTAGTGGTTTCTAGGGTTTTCGCTTAATTCATTAGGTTTTAGTCGAAAATGCCAGCTCATCGATCCAAGTCCGAGAGAAGCGATGCCGGGAAGCAGCTCCGCCGGGACCCCTACGAGGTTCTTGGAGTTTCTAGGAACTGTACGGAGCAGGAAATCAAGAGCGCTTACCGTAAAATGGCCCTTAAGTATGTTAATTTATGTATTTTCTGCTTATGCGGGGTTTTTAACTTTTTTGACCTTATGTGAAATTATTGGTTAAGTTTTGTTCGAAACGTTTTTATTGGACTTTCTGGGTATTGCAATTGAATGAATCATTGTGAGTTCGTTATATTATCTTAAATTTCCATTTGTTGTGTTAATATGGATTTGAATCATGCGTGTAAATTAGTGTGAGAAGAAAATTATAATTTGCTAGATTTTGCTCATGCTGCACTTTGAAGTGACAGAGGTTTATTGGAAACGTTGTTGATTGGTGGTTTAGTGGTCTGTTGGTAATGCTCATGTCAAAGTGCTAAATCCAGCTAGGAGCTTGTCTTGGTGTAGGGGACTGTTAATTTATTATGAGACAAGATAACCAAGATGGCTTGAGGGTCTTTATGCTGAATAGAAGACAAAATCTCTAAGGCAGTGTATAGACTAGATTGTCAGGTGTTCAAATTTAAAGACATGCACAAAGCAAAAAACTTAAGGTGCGTTTCTGGTTTATTGTATTCATATTATCAAACACGCAATAAAATTTTTTAGGTTTGAAAACTGATTGCGTTCCTAGTATGTGTTATTTCATAGTTTGATCTGATTTTAGTGTGCTCTAATAGCCTTAAATCTCGGATGGTTGACTATTTTTCTCTTGGAGCTGTGATATTTTGGGGTTGTAATATTTGAACAGTAAGTAACCACTTCTATGCCGCTGAGTAAATTCTGTCTGATGCTTGTGTAAGAGAAGTGTTAGTTAGAAAGAGATGTGCTGAATCCAAAATCATGGTTGCATTCTTGTGGAGCATGAACATTGACATCATGCTAAATTCTGTTAGAGTAAAGCTCACTCTAAATCAGAACTCATGACTGTGTTCTTATGGATATGGACCTTGGGAAGACATTGGTTTGAGTTACAGAAATTCTCATTGCAAAAAGGAAGAGCAGGCAGCCTTTATAGACATAAGTGGAAGAGAATTTTGCCTGCCAAAGTTTGACAACCTGTTGAAAATAGCATGGTTTGCAAAGTTGGACCTACCTAACTAGGTGGTTTGGAGTGTGTATATTCAGATGGCCGCGCAGTTGTCTCGCCCTAGTTCTATCTTGCATGGATTACTTAATAATGAAATGTGCACTAGTACAGTGTCACCTATTTTGTGACAGTTGCTTGGCACTTTCAAGAAAGCTGAATTTGTACATGCGCACTGCAAATTTCATCTGTAGAATGCTACATCTGCTTAAAACTAGTTACTTAGATGTGTTTTTGGAAGCATTGGAGCTGTTATGAAACCTCAAAACTTGGTCAGTCAAGTGTAATGTGACCAATATTAATGCTAATTTAGTTTTATGAACTTCTGCTTGTAAGCATCGCAAAATTAAGATGGAATTTTTTTTATTAAATTAAATAGCCACAAGACATGTTTCAGCCTGATCCACTTCCAAAAGAAGAGTCAAGGTTTATATTTCTTCTATTTCAGACGTATACTTGCGGTTGGCCATAGGAATTCCTAGGATATGGGTGGGGACATTAAACTTCCCCAGATGATTGGAGCTGGTGATATATATGCTGATGTGTTTTTCTTTTTCACTACCGCAAACCAAGCCCTTGGGAACACTTCATCTTTAAAATACTTTTAGTTTGTGAAACATGTGTACGGTCACTCGTATTCATGTCCATGCTACATTGAAATTAAATGAGAGCTGATATTGCAGAAATTTTGTGAATTAGCAGTATTTAACTTTTTTCTTCTGATAACTCCCATTGCTACCTGCCCATCAAGATACATATTGGACACAATTCCCACACCCATATTAATTTCAGATGTGTCTGACTTGAATTCTTCTCTGAATTTAGATTGTTTAACAAACAATTGATCAATAACTCTTCTAGGATGTTTTCCTTAATGCTTGGCAAGCTTTGTAGTTCAAATGTTATTGTAAAGCATAATGTGTTGATTTCTAATTAGACAAATGGATGCATTTTATTTACCATCTTATATGCCTCTTAATTATTATATTGCCACTATTTTTGCCATATTCTATACAAATGATTTGTATTATTGTATCTGCTAACATTTTAGTGGTTTAGGTACCATCCTGATAAGAATGCAAATGATCCTGTGGCAGCTGATATGTTTAAGGAGGTTACATTTTCCTATAATATCTTGTCTGATCCTGACAAGCGGCGTCAGTATGATGCAGCTGGTTTTGAGGTGAGATATACAAAATTGGGTAATATTTTGAAGTCTTTGAGATCCAAAAGTTGCTACTTTTTAATAAAGTTACATACGCTGCAATTTTAGTCTTTTAAGTCACCATTTTATCCTTGGATTTGGCATGGAAGTTCAGTGCTGAACATGATATTGTTGTCCTTTCTGTAGGCTGTTGAATCAGAAAGTCAAGAGTTGGAGCTAGATCTTTCCAGTTTGGGAGCAGTGAACACCATGTTTGCTGCACTTTTTAGGTAAGTTTATTGATATTTTCTTCCATTCCGTAGTACTTTTAGCAACTTTTTGTGCTTTTTATGATCTGTGTACATTGAGTTATGTTCTTATTGTACCTACAAATAGTAAACTTGGTGTGCCAATCAAGACCACTGTATCAGCAACTGTGTTGGAAGAGGCACTTAATGGTGTGGTCTCCATTCGCCCACTCCTTTTGGGCCAACCTATAACCAGGAAGGTAGGGTACTCTTCTTTATCTTCTGCTGTTACTGTTTGTAATGATGGTCTACTGATTGAAATTTTGTACATCTTAACAGGTTGAAAAACAATGTGCTCATTTCTATTCTGTCACAATAACAGAAGAGGAAGCACGGGCTGGATTTGTGTGCCGAGTGCAATCGTCTGACAAGAGCAAATTCAAGGTTTAAAAATTTATGAATTTCTAAACCCCTGTTCTACTGAAAATGCATGTTTATTTTCATCTATAGACTGCCCTGATATTCTGTCTGAACCATAGGCTGGACCTGCTAAAGTGTTCATTTAAAGGTTATGCCCTGGGTAAAAAAAAAAATTATTTTTAAATAATAGCCAGTTAAGATGATTCTCCGTTAATCAGAAATGAGACTGGCTTGTTTCTTTTCAGGCTTCACGATTAAAAAAAAAAAAAAAATTCATACAGCACTCATGTTGGCCAGGGGTGACTTCTACTTATGGTCTAATTGAAATATCTTTATGTTTGAATAGCTATTGGAATTAAGTTCAGCAAGAGTAACTTATATTCAAAATTCATTTAAATGGATGTATGTTTTGCTTCCAGAAATGTTGGAAAAATTATTTCTATGATTTCTTTCTTTGAACTGGCTCGTTTTTTAGTTTTGTTTTTCTTTATCACTGGAAATTTGATTATTACTTTAGATGAGCTGATCCTAAATATGTTGGCATATACTTACCTGTTCCTTTGGTTGAATTTAAAATACATAAGAGGTACTACTATGACTCTATGAGCCATATCTTCTCTCTATGGAGGTGTGCATGTTATGTAAATGAGTTGTTTTTTTTTATCAAATCATAAAGCAGCATATGTGAAGGTACTAATAGACCAGCAAAGTTGACAGGTTCACACAAGCAAATTGATTGTAAATATCTTGCTCAAGTTTGATCCCTAATATGTTCATTTTTGAAATTTGTTACATATATGAATTTTTTTTTAGAAAGCAATTATTTCTCCCCTACGAGATGATTTAATTCCATGGCTTCTGAATTAAATCTGGTCTGGTCTTCCACGGGTAATTGGTAGACCTAGAGTACCAGTTGAGGAGCATTTCTCTAAGACCAGTTGTTTTGCTTCAAACTTCTTTACATTTAATGCTGGGTCTTGACTACAGCACCAAGTTCTTTCATCTTTGCCAGATGGTTATAATGAACTCTTAGTTTTTGCTTCTCACACAGTTGAGGTGGTACTTCCAGCTGCTCACTTTGACTGCAATTTTGTTGGAGTGCTGCTATCTGAGAATTTCATTTTTCAATACAGAACAAGAATTAGTTAAATTTTGGATGCCTTCCTACTTATTAGTAGGCTGATGTGTTATATCTGTGGGAATGCATCTAAAATTATTTTTTTGTTTTTATTTTTTCGCTGATGCAAGTGTAGTAACCAATTGGCTTTGTGCAGTTATTGTATTTTGATCAGGAAGGGAGCAGTGGATTGAGCCTTGCACTGCAGGTATCAAGCAGTTCTCTTCTGTTGTTTTTTCAGAGTGGTTATCGTATTTTGTTTTATATTTCCACTGAAGCAAGTGCAGTTACCAATTGGCTTTGAAGCAGGCCTTTTCAATTCAGGGAGGGGGTGGGGGTCGGGGTGGTATGCATTATTGACATAATATGGAATTGCTTTCTTGAGTTCTTTCTAATTAGCTCTGAAAGGCATGTGTAGCTGTGTATTTTGGTTACAAGATTTATCTTCCACATCTATAGGAGACTATTCCTTTCAATTATAACACTATTATTCATACTCAAATTTCTTGCTCATCTGGGTTTACTCTCTTTGAAATATATTTGGCAATTGATCATGCCTGCAGTAGTCTTGCTAACTTGAGCAGAGAGGGTTAAGCCGCTGTACTACTGATAACTCTGTATTTCTTTATTTTTTTATTGTTTGGTAGTACCCTTATCCAGCACCTGTGACCCTTAAATTGCTAGAGAAAAGCTACTCCTTAATTAATTAACCATGTCCATCTGGTGCATCATTTAGGCTATTTTTAGGTATCCCACATTCACTTTATCATGGCTTTGATAAAATTTCATAATGTATTTGGAGCTTCCATCTAACAACTTAGGATTTTGGGTTGGTTCCCTGTAATGGTATCAAAACCTGTCTCAATGGTTTTTTCCTTGTCCTGTTTTCTGTACTCTCTATATATGAAGGGAATGTTAGCGAGTCCCAGATTAACTAAACCTTGCTTTTAACATTTCATATGCTTTATTGAGCTCTTCCATTTAATACCTTTAGTTTTTAGGTCGGTGTCTAGCTATTGATACAAGAATAATTTTTTTTTTTCGTGTTCTGTTCTAAAGTATCTTTGATTTCTTATTTAGACCTTTGCTTATTGTTGCATGAAAATATCATCACATTATTTTTAAGTGATCACATCCATTCCATACATGAACTGCCTGTGAGTCTTAATTAGCATTTAGCACCTTTGTATATCTTTGTTGCCTTTCTAAATCATATGCTCAAGTTATTTGATCTCTTCTAATGCAGGAGGACAGCACAAAAACTGGGAAGGTGACAGCTGCTGGCATGTATTTACTTGGTTTCCCAGTTTACCGGTTAGATCAAACAGCCAACTCGGTGAGTTGAGGATTTGTAATATATCTTGGTAACTCATCATGTTTGAGTTTGATTTTGATCACTTTTTAAGTTATGTTTTATAATTCTTTTGGCTCTAGATGGCTGCTGCAAAGGATCCAGATGCTGCCTTCTTTAAAAAACTGGATGTGTTTCAACCATGTGAAATAACTGAACTGAAGGCAGGCACACATACATTTGCTGTTTATGGTTAGTTCTTTAGTTTCTGTCCAGTGCATGTGTTGTATTTTTCAATGATGCATTTGGATTAACCTTTTTGTTTCTGTTACATTTCTCTAGGTGATAATTTTTTTAAAAGTGCAAGCTACACGATAGAAGCCCTTTGTGCTGCTCCTTTTACAGAAGAAAAGGAGAATCTTAGAGCTGTGGAAGCTCAAATTCTGACAAAAAGAGTGGAGTTATCGAAGTTTGAAAATGAATACCGAGAGGTCTAAACTTTGATATACGATGCATATACCTGTGAAATTCTCTTCATGTTTGTTTGTTATTCACTTGGGAGTGTTACAGGTCCTGGCACAATTTTCAGAGATGACCAGTAGATATGCACAAGAAATGCAAGCTGTAAGATTTACCCACAACACCCTTGTGCCTGTATCCCATTTGAGAATGAGATTCAATTACATTCATAGATTATTTTTGCTTTCTTATTTTGCAGATTGATGAGCTTCTTAAACAAAGGAATGAAATTCATGCCTCGTACACAACTGCCCTTCCAATGAAGCGGAGTTCAAGTAAGAACAGAAGTCGGGGTTCACCAAAGGAGGTCAAAGAGGAAGGCCAAGTGAGAGAGAAAAAATATACAGGGAGGGATAGATCAAAGAAGAAGAAATGGTTCAATGTCCACTTAAAAGTTGGCAAGCGAAAGCCATGCTAAAAAAGGTAGGATTATGATCAAACCTTTTTTCTCTTATAATATTTTTCTTTCTCTATTCTAATAATTAGTTGAGTTGGCTTCTTTTTTGCAATATTTTAGACGAGCATGTGGAATCAACTATCCATGGGATAATTCTTCAATTATCATTCTTTGTTGTGGTGGTTTGGCATCTGTGCTAGCGAAAAACAAGGCTAAAAAGTTCCTGCTTCCCAAGTGTAGTAGTCAGTGATGAAATGCACATAGTGAATGCGGTGGAATGGCAACATTTCTCCAGCATGGCAAGGGTGACAACAGCTCATTGTTATCGTAAAATTCTTTCCTTCCTTTTCCCATGCCTGGGTCATTCTCGTGTTAGTTTTTCATCGGTATCTAGCTAGCATACCTGTAAATGCATAAATTATTCTTGAAGATCCTTTCAGCCACATCTTAGCCTCGGTTGTAACTTAGGATTAAAGAAATGAAAAATTAGTGCACTTCACGGGCCTACTGTCTGCTGCTGGTGTTTAGTGATTCTCGTTTGGCAATTGGAATTGGTTCTCCATCTTTCACCAATGTTCAGGCTTAATTTGTGAGACATGGTGGCTAAATTTTGGTATTTCTTTTTATTATTAATCCAAAAATATCTTATGCTTATGCCGTATAAAACCTAGCTGTCATAAAATTTTAGCTGAGTAAACGTCTAAGTAGTGATAACATAAATGGGTAAAATTCTTTGCGAGAAATTGATATTTTGGAAAGTCTGAATTAATTCCTAATGTGACATTTTTTTTCTCGAATAAGTTGGTAGATTTACTGATACACACAAAAACAAATATTACGACCCATTAATGTCAAGTGAAGCAGAAAATCATGCTTTACAACCTTAAGGGTTGGTCTAGTGGTTAAAAAGATTTGTTCTTTTATTAATTTTTTAAATTTAAAATATTTTAAAGTCATTTAACACATTTGTAATTTATCTTAGAATATTAAATTTGTAGAATGTCAAGCTCCTAATCACAATCTTCTTTTGCAGTAAACTCTTTGTCGAAACGGCACGTACACACTGGAGGAACATTAGCGCTATCCAAAAACCCAAATAAACAGAAAGAAAAGTACTAAATACCCTTTACTTGTCTACTCAATCCTTTAATTATTTTCACCAACACTACTGCCACCTAGGAATTATTGAACTCATGGCATCTACGCCTTACTTCTCCATCCCTTCCACTCTTAATGTTAAAAGTGCTAAATTTCTTCATTGCCTGAGCAAACTTCCGAAAAAATTCAACCTCATTAGCTGCATACAAATCCACGAATGGTTTGGTTCTATTATCCACGGCTATGGCTTGGTCAGACGGCAATAATCCCAACCCGCTTTTCAGATTCCTGTAATACATATTATCAAACTTGCCCGGCGTAAATATATCATTAAACGCTGCCATTTCCGGCTGATTCAGATAATTTGCACACAGTATCCTTAATCTTTCTGCGAATTGAGGATTAAGAGAAGGGTCAATCTGAGAAGTGTTGCTGTAGTTGTATATTCTACCAGCAAACTCTTTGCAGTGAGAAAAACCTATTGTATGGGCACCAACAAGAGCTACCATTTCTTGCACGGTAAGACCTTTGGATACAAAGATAGATATAATATCCGATAATGGAAGATTAGGCCTGGCGATATTGCCTTGAACATGTAAAGGGTCGGATACTAAGCTATCTCTCCTTCCCAAAGGAACGTTATAGAAAGGTCCGCCCACCATCACAACAAGGTTGCGCGCTGCAGTAGCAAGAATATCAGCGCAAGAAACAATGCCAGGGCATTGGAGCTCAAGGGCAGTTTTCGCTCGAGTGATGAGATCGAAGGCATCCCCAGCGAGTGAGAGATTGATATCAGCGTCACGCTCAGCCTTTTTAAACGGGGTGGAGGCAATAAGGACAGAAGCATCACAGCCGTCCACCATGCAGTCGTGAAAGAAGAGGCGGAGGACGGCTGCAGCGGTTGTAGGGGAGGCAATTTGCTTATCGGTAATGATTTCTTGTAACGTAGATGAGAACTGGGGGCATGTTTTGTTGTAGAAGTCGAGGGTGAGTTGGGATTTGACTGTAAAGGAAAAGAAGAGAATAAGGAGAAGAGGAGAAAGGTCTGGCATTGTCTGTGTGAATGGAAGTACGAGAGAGAGAGAGAGAGAGAGAGACTGTGCAGGGCCAGGGCATGGTTTAAATTAGTAGTTTGTTAATATGGATGTGAAGTGAGTCTAGTGGAAGGGAGAGTTTAAAGGGGCCGGCTTAGGTTTGCTGTAGATTTATGGCGTTTCGTTTGAGAAAAGCTGGAAATAGAAAACAAACAGACGTTGATGGTTTGAGTATAATCGGTGATTAATCAAAGTGAATTAGTTAAATGAACAGAGAGTGATCAATGTACCGTTGTAAGAAACCATAATTAGTTTTTATAAATTAAGGTTAATTAGAATGTGTCCTAAACAAACCTTAATGTATAGTTAATAATTTAAGCCTCAAACAACATAACATAACTAATGCTTATAGGACTTTTACATGTCATGTTAGATAAATAGTGTTTGGTATAAAGATATTGGAAATGACACACCTAGCGACTATATCCAAATCATACATTAATATCGTAATCTTATATAATTCCCCAGTGAAGAAGGAATCTCTAGGCAGCAAGTATACGTATCGTTTGTCGCCAAACAAATTCTTGTATTCCCCTTTAGTATAAAGTTAATAATTGAGGTGACTTGTTCATATAAAACATGTGATGCAATAGACTAGTAATCTGTCAAATCGCATTTTCAAAATTAGAATAACAAAAAACTGCCTTTCACATTAGACGTACTGCTTTTTAATTTGGACTATCAAATCACTTAATAGCGATTATTACAAGTAATTTGTAAGCTGAATAATTATTTCAGACATACGGTGTAAATGATGATGTCACGGCGTCCATTATTCTATAGTCAAACAGAATAGCTGAGCTGGCCTTTCCCAATCCAAATCCAAATCCAAGTTGCCAATTGACGCATCACCTGTGGTGGGTCCTCTTTAGTCCGAAAAAATTTAATTTATCACGTGCAATTGACCGTGTCCTAACGTCTACCACCCAATCTCTTGTAAAAATAAACTCTTATAATCAAATGGAAGATAGTATAGTATACGTGGGTGGCTTTTTTAAAGTTCAAAAATTGCACGGTCATTAATGACATCAAATAACATGAAAAATCTTGTGATGATTTCCATCACATATATAATATCATACATCAAATCCCACGGTTTATGATGGACAGATCAGAGGTCCCACTCACATGCATGTCTCCACCCAATAACCATATCCATTGCCCCAGCCATACCTAATTTTTGATCTTGTGATCAAACTTCCATTTGGAGCCTCATGGGCCCTACTTCAAAAAACCTCATTGCTTACCAGGTTCATTGAATAGGTTACCCAATGTATGTGATGTAATTACCAACTGTTATGAATTTGCTGATGAAAGCCTCAGTAGTGATGCATATGTCATTGTCGTTTTATAAGTAAACATTGTGAGTTTTATGAAGAATGATAAAAATAACTTTATAATGTTAATGGAACCCAAGATACACACACAGTATAATAAAACAACGTGCTTCATAATTAATACATGTTTCAAGGTTTTTCCCAGAGAAAATATAGGAGAAGTGGGCAGCCATTAGAGACGGTCAAAAATTCTGCAGTCAATTTTAACTATTTTCATTTGCAGCCACAAGAAATGGTCAAATTCCTAATCCTCATTTGCACTCAAACGTCCTCCAAAATAATGTCTTTTAGCTTTATTATCATATGCTTATGATGTTATTACCAATCATAAAAAGAAAAAAGTAAATAATATATGGAGGGAATTAAATCCTATTAAGCATATTTGTTCTCAAGTACAATAATTTTAAATAGCGGCTACCAACAACAACTATTCAATTCCATTACTTGGCCATGGCGCTTTCTCTTCTCCAATACATTCTCTTAATCTTCATTTCCATTACTACTATTTGCTCTTCTTTCAATTTCCAACTTTCTTCTCTTGAAAAACTTTCGACGCCACCGCAGAATACTTCAATCAAAGATCGGATTCTTGGGCTGGCTAATGATGAAAATACAGTTAACTGGATGAAGAAGATAAGGAGAGAAATCCATGAGTACCCGGAACTTGCTTATGAAGAATTTGAAACTAGTAAACTCATCAGGCGTGAACTTGACCGACTTGGTGTTGCTTATAGATGGCCTGTGGCGAAGACCGGCGTTGTTGCCACAATTGGTTCTGGTTCTCCTCCTTTTGTTGCTTTGAGAGCGGATATGGATGCTTTGCCTATTCAGGTCTGTTTCATTTCTCTTATTTTTATCTTCTTCTTCTTCTTCTTCTTATTATTATTTTTAAACATATTTATATCTATGGGTTGTTTTTCTGTACACATATTTACTGTAAATCTTCGATTTAAAACTTTGTTCTCTGTTTCTGCGGCATGTTGTACAGAATGGCTAAAACAGGGGCTCTGCTCAGTTATCCTTATTTAAACTCGTGTTTATTTACTAATTGTCATGGACCCACACGGATTGATTCTTGAACTGTTGCTACCGTACGTACTCATTACACTTTAATTAATTTGAAGAAGGATAAGAGACAAATAATTGTCTTATCAGGAACGGAGTAGCAGTCCTGAAACTTACTGCAATAACATTTCTATTAAGAAAATATGCCTTTTCAGTAAACACCAATTAAATACTAATGTAAGAGTATGAACTCATGATAATTTTCAGTGATGTTTACTTTATAAGAGATTCGTAATCATGTTTCTTGTAAGGTTGAAAGGAAAAATATATTGTATTTGGAACATGAATTGAGTATTAGAAAGATAGATGTTTTGCAAAGCATTTCTACTTTCGATTGTTTTGTGCAAGCAGCACGAAAGTTTCTGGCTTCTAAAGATTGATACGGATCTGATGGCTTTGTGTGCTTTGGAAAAAAAATGAAGGAGAAGTTTTTTAAGTTTGCAACTTCATAATGTCATATTTTCTCCTTCTAAGGACTCAATTGGAGCCTAAAACAATAAGACTTTGAAGTATATATATATATATATATATATATATATCACTCTGCTGAGAAGATTATGGCCAGTGTTCGTTTATACTCTCGGGTTTAATTTAAGAGTTTATTGGGCACCGGATTTCTAACATACTGAAAATCACTGCAGGAACTGGCGGAATGGGAACACAAGAGTAAAGTAAATGGCAAAATGCATGCATGTGCTCATGATGCGCACGTTACCATGCTCCTCGGTGCTGCAAAGATACTGCAAGAACTGCGACACACATTAAAGGTTTAATTGGAAATCTTCAAAAAAAAATTGCTGTTCCCAACCGTATATAGTATTCTTCTCCTTTATTAAATTTTGTATTTAATTTTATCCTATTCTTTTTGTTTCTATGTAGGGTACTGTTGTTCTTATATTTCAACCGGCTGAGGAACGGGGTACAGGTGCAAAAGATATGATCCAAGAAGGTGCGCTTGAAAACGTTGAGGCCATTTTTGGTGTACACTTGGTGCATAAGTATCCCACCGGTGTTGTTTCATCACGGCCCGGAGAATTTCTAGCTGGATGTGGGAGCTTTAAGGCGAAAATTAGTGGGAAAGGAGGACATGCTGCAATTCCACAACACTCTATTGATCCAATTTTGGCAGTTTCGTCATCTGTAATTAGCTTGCAAAATATTGTTGCAAGGGAAATTGACCCTTTAGATTCTCAGGTTTTTACCATCCTAATTTATCATGTACTTCTCAACCCTATGTATAATTTTGAGCTTTTCCGCCTTACATAAGTATTGTAAAATAATGCAGGTGGTTTCTGTAAGCATAATTGATGGAGGTACAGAGTATAATACTATCCCGGACTCGGCTACAATAGCCGGAACTTTTAGAGCTTTCAGCAAAAAGAGCTTCTCATTGCTTCGGGAAAGGATAGAAGAGGTAACTAAAACTTAAGTAACTTAATTGCATGGTAAATCTCTAAATTATACATATCATCAAGACAGAATGTTCTGCATATAGAAGTACAAATTTTAAGTTCATTTTCTTTCCGGCAGGTTATCAAGGGGCAGGCGGCTGTGCATCGGTGCTCTGCCGAGGTTGATTTCGAGGGAAGAGAACATCCCACACTTCCTCCAACGGTGAATGATGAAAGAATATATGAACATGTAAAGTGGGTCTCAGTTGACTTATTGGGAGAAGAAAAAGTAGAAGTGGCTCCTTGCTTCACAGGGAGTGAAGATTTTGCTTTCTTCTTGGATGAAGTTCCAGGATCCTTCCTGTTTTTAGGCATGTGGAATGAGAAGGCGGGAGCCACATATCCTCCACATAGCCCTTACTTTTTTATTGATGAGGATGTGTTTCCCATTGGAGCAGCCATACATGCAGCATTTGCACATTCCTATCTTTTAAATTCAACTAATTATAAGAATTCTTACTGATTATTTGGAGCATATATATTCTCTCTACCAATCTCCCCTCCTTGACGTCTCTAAGTAGTCTGTAACAATTACTCTCTCTCGTGAGCCAAATGTTATAATGAAATGCGAAGCTTCAAAAAAGAAAAAAAGGGTTTGCATATATATATATATATATATATATATATATATATCCGACGGTCAAAATGATGTTCGGGGCATGACAAAACTAACCACAAACTACCACCAGTTTGCTTGATAAATTGCATTTATACTGTAATACTGAAATGCAGCCCCTTGTCTCATTATTAGTATTTTGTCTACCTCAAATAAGGGAAGAAGAAGAAGTGGATTTGGTTCAAGTTTCATCAAGTGAGCATGATCAGCATGAAAGAATCTGTGAGTGATAATTTGTTTGCAGTTCTCCATGTTGCTTCTTTAGCTAGCTGGGTTGTAAGTTTAAAATTTATAAAGCCCTCTGGTTATGCAATTAGATTATACACGAGTTTCATATATAAAATTAGAATCATCATTGATAATTCATTGTTTGTATTTAGATTATAGAGGCCTATTTCTGTTTTTGCTGTCATGGTAGCATGCATCTACATGATTCCAAGCCGCAACATCTGAAACATTTCACTCATTAACTGTAAACAACCAAATAAATAGACAGCAGTACATAGAGACAGTGATTTATTACATATACCAGAAACATGATATCTGATCAGGCAATCAAGAAAATAAAACAGATACCAGGAACTAAAAATTATTAACAACGAGACCAATAAGAACACAAACCGATTAAACGAGGACAAAGTTCAACAACAAAACAGCTCCCTAGAAACCAAGAAATGCGACAAGGATAGCCAGGAAACCAATCATCATTGATGGTGAAGCGAGGTTGCCTAGAGATTGCTTCGGCGGCTCGGGAGTTGGGGCCCCGATCGGGGGCATATCCATGCCTGGCATCTTAGCGTCCATGGCCAATCCATCTTGTGCAAAAACCACCAAAATCCATACAAAGAAACAGGCAGCAGAAGTGGTTGCTTTGGTCCAAGAAGCCATTTTTGTAATAATTTTTTCCTGCTTCAAATTTGATGATAGATATGAATGAAGAAAACCTGAAGAGCATTGCTTGGTGGATGCATGTATATATAGCGGCGGTGGGATGCCTTCGTTAAGAGCAAGAAAATGCTGGAGTCGTCGTTGATATCTAGTGTTGAAAATTTGTCTGTAATTTCGAAAAAAAGAAGGTGCCAGGAAAGAACTAACTAAATTTATTACAACACGTACTGCTGGACATAGACAACGAGAAAGGAATAAGAATAATATATTCAAGGAATCAATCAGGATTTCACATTTAAATTAATTCGGACATTACACTGTTTTGACAAGATCAAGAAAAAATTCAAGAGACTTTGTTATGCGGGAAAATCTAAGGATTTTGATTTACTCGTTTGTCAGGATTGTTACACGCACATAAAAATTATGAGTGGTTATTTGATAGCGATGAGATAATTACATCAGTTGTATGACTTGTATCATAAGGCAAATTATGTATGTCATATTAGTGTAGACGTAAAAATCTACCTGTACGGAAGGAGAGACTGATCCCGTGAGGTTGAGGTCACTTGCGATCTGCTATACCTGCACACGTAAAAAAACACACGTGAAGCGACAGAAAACACCGGAGTGGTGTTTGCCGAAGGCACTCCGACGCTTAAGTCAGTAAGGCTGAAAGGTTGATTTAGTGAGGGCTAAGGAGTAGAGAGGTTACTAGAAGTCTAGTCGGGGACTGTGACTACGATTGTGATGTGAAGTTCTCAAGCTAGAACTCCGGGGTCTGTAGGTGTAGTGTAATCTGCCTTGTGAGAGGGCTGACCTTTGTTTAAATAGTGACTGTCTGGTCTCCCAATCCCACTGGGATTGAGAGTTCTCGTAGTAATCCGTTCCCTCTTGGGATATATCCTTTGGTCCCATTATCCCGGCGTGAAAAGGAGTTTAGGTATGACTCTGACACGGACCTTGGAGGAGTTGGGGTTGTTGTGGGCTACTTTTACCTGTGTTCGAATAGGAATGTGATCTGCAGGTGACCATGGGCTCTGAATTCGTTCATAGATCCAGGAAGTGGACTGGAACTAGGAGGCTTGTGTCCGGACGGTTAGGGTCGACTGTACCTCATATAAAACGGGCCTAATCCGGTGAGTTTTAGATTGGGCCGCATCGGGATTGGGCCTGAAATTTTCCTCATTGTCAGTCTCGTTTCCATATTTGGGCCAAGGACGATTTTTGGCCCTAACAGCTTGCCCCCCACTTTCTGAGTTAAGGAGTGCTTAACTTAGAGAGTAGGCGTCGCTTGAGGGGCATTAGGTCGGCCTTCGTGGTCGACCGATTAACCGCGTGGGTGAGGCTGCAGTTGGGTCGGTTCTTCGGTATGATTGTTCGATCGGACGGGGGCAACTCGTGGTTGTGCTCAGTGCCCTTATCTGAGTCGGGGGGATTGATCAGTCTAGTGGAATTCAGTCGATCGGTGTTCGGGGCCGAATGGGCGAGCAGTCCAGCGCACACGCAATGGCTCAGGGTGTCTGACCAGATACAGAAGTGGAGATTGATCTGCTAATGGTCCGTTCACTCGGTTCGGTCCAATGGGTGATTGAATGAGTCATGAAGGTGCGTTCAGCCGGTGCCGCCAGCCGAGTGGGTTACATTAGTCCATAATTGGTTATGGCGCTTTGGGGACTGGTCGAGTCTGAGTGAACCGTTCGGCGTAGTCGCTCATCTAGTAGGGGTGATCGAGTGGCGAGGCTTATGCCTAGCCTGCGTTTGGTGTGATCCTAGGTAACCGAAGCTAGGTGGTTAGGTACGGTGATGTCAATCCCAGTCGATCGGGCTACCCGAATGAATGGTTGTGCCTCGGGGATTAAGTATAGCTGGCATGAACTTGACACGTATACAGCTGGGATGCCCTCTGAACTTGGGCGGGAAAAATTAAGACACTCGTGACTTTCGATGCCCAATCGTGTGGTGACACGTGTCACCTGATAGCTTTTGCTGATAAAAGTTTGGCTTGCGATTGTTCGTTTCATCTGGCCGTTTTCCTTCCCTTCGCGTTTTTCCTTTTCTTAGAAACTTGGGTTTTCGTCACTACTTCGAAGGAGATTTCAAGATTGGGCCATTTGCACAGTAAATTTTTTTTTTCTTTTTTGCTTCTTCTGTTTCCTTTGTGTTTGTGCGTTGTTTTCTGGAGAGGTTGAGTTGCGTTTTTTGGAAGATTTGGTTTGTTTTGCTTTTCCTGTTTCGTTTGCGTTGAGTTTATAGGAGATTTGGTTTGATTTTGTGAAGTTTGAGGGATTTCATGTATCGGAGTTTCGATTTTTTGGAAAAGGTGTGGATTCTGGGATTTCTGGTGGATTTTCAACGAGTTGCCTCTTTTTTGGTGTTTTTCGGGTTTTTTGGACGGGACAGAGAAGACATCAGATTAGGCAGCATATTGGTTCAGTCGGTCTGCCTGATCGAATCGAATGGTAGGCTGGAACAGGGTTTTAAGGTAGTTTAAGTGGCTTAGGTTGGTCGTCCGGTCCGTACGATCGAGTAGCGAGGGGTCGTCCTATGTGAAGGGGTCGATCGATGCTTCAAGGCGAGTGGGCTCATCAGAAGGGGGTGTAAGGCTCATTCATAGGTCGGTCACTTGGGGTGAATGGGTTCAGTCTACTGGGTCTGGGGCTTGGTTGGTCGGTTGGGAGGATCGACCGGAGTTCAAGCTTGGGTGGAAAAGGTTGACCGAGTTGTCAATGAGGGTAGGTCGCCTGGCGTTAGGGGGCATGCAATAGTTTGAAGGTGTTCTTGTATCATCGTTCAGTCGGTAGTGCAGGGCGAGTGGTGTCTCGACACTTAAGTTTTTGGAGTCTTATTGTAGGATCAAATCGGTCGGTTTGGCTGGGTGAGTAGGTTCACATGTCAAACTCAGAGTCAGGTGGTACGAGCAAGGCTGGGGCGAACGTTGGGAACGAGTATGAACGTGCTCCTACCATAATGATGATGCCCGAGGGGGGCGTTTCGATGGGTGTACCGACTGGTGTTAGTGTAGCTGCCCTCGGGACGAGTGCTGCTGGTCCGAGTAGATCGGGCAATCATGGGGGAAGTGGGGAAGACTCCGAAGGTGCTGGTAGTTCACCATTGTCCAGTAGTAGCTCTGAAGAGGAGCCAAGCCAAGAGGGTAGTGGGATCTTGGCCAAGGATTATCCGCCCGTGCTCAAGGATAGCGACGTGTGGCGAATCCAGACTATGTATCACATTCCGGGTTTGGTTGAGATCCAGACACCATGGTTGTACGAGCGGGTTGATTGGGAGGCGAAAGGTTGGGTGAGTGTATATGAGAAGTGGTTTCATGACTGGCTGAGGTTGCCTATTCCTTGCCTCGTATGGGAGGTGCTAAACCACTTCATGGTTGCCCTGTCATAGATCATGCCGAACGGTTGGAGGTTGCTTATGGTGTTAGAGGACATCTGTGTGCGGAACCAGGTGATGTTTGGGCTGCACGAGCTGTTGTACTCGTATTTTTTGAAGGAAAACGACAAAGAGAAGGGTCGGTATTTGATCAACCTCAGGCATGATCGGTCTTATCAGGTGACCGACCTCCAGTCCAGTGATAAGAATTGGAAAGATCGGTACTTCTTTGTGCGGGGTCAGGCTGTCTTTAGGGAGAGAGGCCAAGGCGATATTCCGAGCAGTTGGCGAGCCACTGGTGAGAACCTTTGTCTTTTTTTTTTGAATTTTGATTACTAAATCTTATTGTGTTTTTTGCTTTCAGAGCTTGAGTACAATCGGGCCGGGCAGAACGGAGACAGTTTGGATGTGCAGACCTAGAAGGTGCTACCCATTTTGAAGGCGCAAAGGGATTGACGAGTAGTATTGGCGGAGGCCAACCTTAAGACCAGCCATCTCTGGGTCGGAGTAGAGGCAATTCAGCAAGGTATTCCTTCCCTTTTGTTGAAGCAGACTTAGGATGTGCTTTTGACTCGGTATCGCAATCATACCATT